TGCGAGTTCGAGTGACTGCAAACAAGCCGGGAGGAGGAGAGGCCATTATAAATGAAATAATGAAAGGACACAACGAGGGCGAGTCTGTCCCACAACTAAGTGTCAAGGAAACGCTGAGAAAGAAAGCGGTCATAATTAAGGGCCTAAACGAATTTACCACGGAACAATGCGTTAAAGGTGCGATAGCGGAAACACTTGGCCTGGATGCCAAATCCGTAGATACCGTGAATATTAGGAAAACGAAATACGGAAGTTGCACGGCCAAGGTGTGGTTACCGGATAGAGACACGGCCCGCCTGATAAATAAAAAGAGGCTACAAGTGGGATGGACCTCCTGCCGAGTGGAAGACTGGGTAGTACCGGATAGATGCTACAAGTGCCAGAACTTTGGGCACAGGGCGACCACCTGCAAAAGTGAATCTGGCTTAAAACCGAGATGCCTCAGGTGCGGTAGTGAGGAGCACAAAGCGCGCGAGTGCGAAGCAGAAGTCAAATGCTACGTCTGCCAAGGCAACCACAGGGCGAACTCTATGGCCTGCTCCAAGTATAGAGAGGCGGTAGAGGAGGTAAAGCGAATGTCCAAGCAAGATACGCAAAACAAGCGCCCCGGTAGTGCCGCGAGGGAAGCAGAGACCAAGCCTACATAATGGCCTCACAAAGAATGCCAGCAGACCCCGGTCGGATCGGGGTCGCCGAAAACCCACTGGGCAGGGAAAAGTGATGATACAGTCGTACCTAAAACAGGCATAAAATTCATGCAAATAAACCTAAACCGATGTGTGGCGGCACATGACATGTTAAACAAAACGGTGATAGACTGCGATATAGATATTGTGATAGGCCAAGAGCCTAATAAGAAGCTGGCGCGTAAAATAAATTACTGTGATATGGACGGTGATACCTTTGTGATCGTAAAAAATTTTAAAGTGTTAAGTGTTGCACGCGGGAATGGCTTTGTGTGCGTTGAGCTGCCTGAATGTTTTGTGACCTCTTGTTATTTTTCACCAAACAAGTCAGAAATAGAATTCAGGACCTACCTAGAAGATATGGAGGAATTGGTGAGGAGATGCAGCTTTAAGGGAATCATAATTGGAGGAGACCTGAATGCCAAATCGAATGTGTTCGGTTCCCTAGTAACTAACGAAAAAGGCAAAACCTTGGAAGAATGGGTGGACTCCAACGATATGGTCATAATGAATAACGGAAATGTTCCCACCTTCAAAAACACCAACGGAGAGTCATATATAGACATCACAATGGGTACGGGAAAAATTGCGGAAAGCATAAAGAGATGGACGGTACATGAATACCTTGAAAACCTGTCGGACCACCGCACCATAACCTTCGACTCAATGGTTAGAGATAAGGGGGCAGTAAGCACCCCCCAGAGAAGGTTCTGGAAGATCGACAATAGAAAATGGAAAACGTTTGTTAAGGAATGCGGAAAAACCCTTCCAGAGCTACTGAGTACAGAGTGCACTCCGTGGAAATTAATGCAGGAAGTGAAAGAAGTGTGTAAAAGGAGCTTTGGGCAGAGACGGACGGGCCAGAGTCGACGCAAACCGATGTATTGGTGGTCACCAGAGGTCGAGGAGGCGAGGAAGATGTGTCTTAAATCAAGACGCAGCTGGATGAGAAAACACAAGCGAGGCGGAGGGGAGTCAACAGAAGCCCTGACGAAATATAGGGAAGACAAGAAGACGCTAAGAAAAGCCATTCAGCAATCCAAAAATAGAACCTGGAATAAGCTACTCGAAGAACTTGAGGGTAACCCATGGGGGAAGGCGTATAAAGTGGTAAGGGGAAAGTTCAAGCTGCGGGAGAAAGTAAACATAACCGGAAAAGACCTGGAGGAGCAGATGAAAAAGTTATTCCCACAGAGGAAGTGGTGTAGGTGGGTCAGACAAGTGGTGACGGAAACCATCCCAGAAGTACTTGAGGAAGAAATCCAAGAAATTGCCGATAAGATCAAAACCAACAAAGCCCCGGGTCCGGACGGAGTCCCGCCCAAGGTAATAAAACACATCCTCAGGACACACCCGGAAGGGGTAGGGAAAATAATGACCAACTGCTTGAAAGAAGGAATATTTCCACAAATATGGAGGAAGGCTCACCTCGTCCTAATTGAAAAAGCAGCGAAGGCAGAAGGAGTACCTAAGGCATACAGACCGATCTGTTTAATAGATGTGATGGGGAAAGTTCTGGAAACCATCATAAAAAGAAGACTAGAGAAGGAGATCGAGGGAAAAAACATACTGCATGAATGCCAGTTTGGTTTCCGTAAGGGGAGATCAACACTCGAGGCAATTGAAAAGGTGTTGAAAACTCCGCAAGAAATAAAAACCAAAGCATATAAAAACAGGGAGGTGTGCGCACTGATAACAATGGACGTCAAAAATGCATTCAACTCGGCCCCCTGGGATAAGGTGATCGAGGCCCTACACAAGGCAAACATCAGCAAGTACTTGATAAACATTATCCAATCATACCTCTCTGAGAGGTCCATCACAGCTGACGATGGGAGCGAGCATGGAATCTCCTGTGGAGTTCCGCAAGGGTCGGTCCTGGGACCAACCCTTTGGAACGTTTTTTACGACCAGATAATAAGGCTAGACCTAGGGAGGGACGTCTACAAGATTGCCTATGCCGACGACCTAGCGCTCGTTATAAAAGAAAAGAACATCGAGAAACTTCAAGAAACCACAAAATACGTAATAGAACGGACATCCCTGGCTCTACAAACCATGGGACTGGAAGTGGCGGAGGAAAAGACGGAGATAGTCGTATTGGCATGCGGTAGGAAAAATAACTACATGGAAGTTACCCTGAACGGGCACGCGACGGGTAGCGGTAAAGAGACTACAATACGCAGCAGCGATGCAGTGAAGTACATGGGGGTCTTCCTGGACAGAAATCTGCGCATGACCACACACGTTACCAAGATCGGAGAAAGGGCAAATAAGATTGCAGCCGCGCTCACAAGGATCACACCAAACGTGGCCGGTCCGACCCAAAAAAAGAAGACTGATCGCGAGTGTAGTATTATCTACAATCCTCTACGCAGCTCCCATCTGGTCCGAAGCGCTGAAATACAAATACTACCGCGAGAAGCTGGAATCCATAAACAGGAGAATGGCCCTGAGGGTGATATCAGGATATCGGACGGTGTCCACTAGCTCGGCGCTGGCAATTGCCGGTATACCTCCCATCCAGTTACAAGCCAAAGAAAGAGGGTTGAGAAGACAGGGGGCGACCGAAGAGGAAGCCCGACTATCCATCCGGAGAGAATGGCAGAGCGAGTGGGAGAGGAAAGACTCCTGGACAAAGACATTCATAAAAGACGTGAGGAAATGGACGGAAAGGAAATGGGGCGACGTGGGGTATGAGCTCACACAGGCCTTCAGCGGGCATGGAAATTTTGCAAGCTACCTATATAAATACAAGCGACGGGAAGACCCAGGGTGCCCATATTGTGGCAGAGAGGATACCCCAAAGTACACCATCTTCGAATGTGCTAGGTGGGAGAGGTTAAGAATGGAGGCGGAGATCAAGTGCGGAGAAGGCGTTACCAGCACAAACATTTCGGACCTGCTACTACGCAGCGAAGAAGACTGGAATGCGATAGCAGAAATGATTTTAAAGATTATTCGAACAAAGATCGATAGATAGGGAGCACAGAACATGGCTAACAACTAGGGGGCGACCATCGGTCCCCGGGCAAAACATGACCGGAAGTAATGTGATAAACGGTTCCCGGTCATGTCCACTAGCTGAAAGAGGACAGGGTTTTGGTGGGTAAACCCTCTTGATGAAGGGGAGTCCCACACATCCCCCCCGCATAGAGCCAAGCGGGGGGATAGCCGATAAACGGTTTCCTAAACCTCAAACAAAAAAAAAAAAAAGGTTAGGTTAGGTGAGGTTCGTTAGGTTAGGTTAGGTTAGGTTAGGTTAGGTTTAGGTTTAGGTTCCTGGCGGGTGGATTCCCAACCAGGCGCGTCCCCAGGTGGCGGATAGGGGGAAGGCCATGCAGATGACCGTACGGGATGCGGGGCCAGCGTCGAATAGGGGCTCGCGGCTTGTAAGACAGCCGCTGGAAGCACCCAAATAAGGCGCCGCGGACCAGTCCACCGGGGGGTGGTTCCTACCGGGAGCGTCTCTCCCACTGGCGAGGGAGAGATACCTACCAAATGATCACCTTGAGATGGTAGGTTTGCGCCAGAATAGGAAGGTGCTCGTGTTCTTGACACAGCGTCTGGTAGCACCTCAAATATGGCGCCGCGGACCAAACCTCCCTGCTCGGCTGTCGTGTCGTGGCAAAGAGCATTGCATGGGAACTAACGGCGCCGTTGGCGGCTTTGCTTTGGCGAACTGGCAACGTTATACCACGTGATACCTCGGTAACACGGGGGGACCGGCAATTGTCGGTCCGAGATGAGTAAACATCCATAAAAATCCCAAATCCTAAGGTGGAGACCAAGCCGAAGGGATGCGTGACTGGATGGAAGACCAGTAGCGATTGGCTCACGTCCTGCTCGGCTGTCGTGTCGTGGCTTAGGGCATTGAACGGACGGAAAACGGCGCCGTCTGGGTTCACACCCCGGTGTGACCCAGGCGTGAAACCATGTACTTCCTAAGAAGTACGGGGGGTGCAGGCCTAAGAATCAGCACCAAGAAGAGAAAACTTCAATAAAAATCCCAAATCCTAAGGCGGAGACCAAACCGAGGGGATGCGTGGCTGAATGGCAGATCAGTCGATATTGGCTAACGTGGGGCTCTGCGACTTGCAGGACAGGGTCTGGCAACCCTGCGGTGCCCTATGCTGGTGGTACGTTTTGCTTCAACTTGTCTTGAACGGCCACCCTACCTTTACACTATACTATCGGGGCTCCCTTGCCCCAACTCTTGCTTCTTCAGGCCCCGATGCCATTAGCTTTTGCGAGGGCTAGGGGACCTTTTCACCTTCCTTTCTCTTTCTTCACGGACGGAATTACGACGACAACATGGCTACGAAATGGACGCTGGCTGAAGCGTTAAACGGCAAACAACGCATGATGGAAACTTCGAGTAAAAACATTCCCCGGGTGGGTCCGGAAGACCGGGAATCCCACACCGCCGCTGGCGGTCTGCCCTATGAGTACGGGGAGGGCGATCATGCAAGAGAAACACGACCACGGCAAGGAAACGGACACGAGTATGGAAACCAGACAAGAGAGGAACGAGTAGCTGCTGACCGGAGCTACATAGCACGTGATGGCAAAAGAGACTACGTCGCGGAGAAGGAAGCTGCTACGGGCGCTATAGACGAAGCAGAGACGGCGGAAGTGTTCGCGGATGATGGCGCGAGGGCACTGCTGGAGATGATCGAGCAGCAGCAAGTCAGTGAGGATGGCTTTTTCGTTAGAAGAGAATCGCTGGCGAGGACCCCGCCATCGAAGGGGAAGGAAGAAGAAGGTCCTCAAGATGGGACCTCGCAAAAGAGGAAGGCAGAAGGTAGCCCACTGAAGGAGGATGAACCAATTGAAGAGACCGACAAGGCGATAGAAGAACTAAGAAGGTTGATTGGAAGGGCAGTAGATTTCACCAACTCGAAGGAGGGGAAAAATGTTAACAAAACAATTAAGGAAATGATTAAAGGGATGGACAGAAACGCGAGGAAAGTTATCAAGGTGAGGAAGGATGAAAGTAACAGGAAGAGGAATAAAAATGCAAAAACACTGGAGGGAAATGGTCATGAAGTAAAGAAACAAGACAAAAAGAAGAATACAGCAACGGAGGTACAAGGCTACATGGACTCCCTACAAGGGAGATATGAACAGTTAGAGGCAAGGATAAAGGTATTGGAGGAAACAACGGAAAGACAGACCGAAACAATTGAGCAGGAAAGGAAGAGGTATAGGGAGTTGAGGGAGAAATACGAGAAGGAAAAGGAAAAGAAGAGGGAAAGAGCAGACCCCTCGAGGGACGAGGAGACCGTATTGATTGAGAATCTAAAAGGAAGTCTAGACAACCTGAAGAAAGATCACGAGGCCCTACGGAGCAAATATGAGAAACTGGAACGGAGGTACCTGAAGGAAAGGGTTGGGTGGCTGGAAAACGAAGTCCGGATACACACGAAGGAGGAAATAGAGGAAATCATGGAAAGACCCAAAACATTGGACAACTTCCTGAGGTTGGTGGCGGCAGAGTGGCCAAAGGAAGTTAGAGACAAAATTAAAATAAGTGACCTATCGCCATACGCATGGGGAAAGGAATATGATATAGCCTTCTATGTGGAGAATGATCACAAAATGGATAAAGAGATTGCTAGGAAACTTAAGAAGGAAATTCCGGAACTGGAGCTATTAACGCCGACGGAGGCGAGCGACACGGGAGAGTATCTCCATTTGATTAAGGAGATGAAGATCCCCAGTAGGAACCTGCAGTGCGGCGAACACTACGGGAAGTTGATTAACACGGCAAAGGGGACCGAGAAACTAATCGGGGTGTTCGGAGCAATGAATGGGCTCAGGGAGGTGTGCATAAGGGATAAAAGGCGCAAGGTATTAATAGCAGTATGCGACAGTTGTGAGGATAAGGAACTGGTCCGGAAGGCGGCGATCTACCTCCTTGGAGAGGAAGTCCAGGTGGAGATGACGGCACCCCGAGAGGTCAGAAACGGCGAGGATGGAGATTCCGCGACGGAAGAAGAAGACGTAGCGGACGGCAGCGGCAGCAAGAGAAGACGGAGAAGGAGGTCGACAAGGGGTAAACCACCAAAAAGGTCGGAAGCGGTCCTCATCACCCTAGGTAGCAGTGAGACCTATGCCGACGTGCTGAGGGAGATGAGAGCCAGTGAAATAGACGCGGGGGTCAGGATCCAAGGCATAACTAAGACGAGGGAGGGCAATATGCTGATGCAGGTCGAAAGGGGCCAAGGAAAGGCGGAAGCGCTGAGGAAAAAACTTAGCGAAAAGATGACTGGAAGGCAACTAAAGACATTACAGGAAACGAGGATTTTGGAAGTGCGGGACCTTGATGCCATCACCACCCAGCAGGAGGTGGCACTGGCAATTAAGAAAACCCACCCGGAAGTAGAAGCCACGGTTAGAAGGATGACCAAAACAGACAGAGAGCAGCAGATTGCTCAGGTGGTGGTTGAACGAAGGGCTGCTGAGCAGATTATCGAGGGCGGATATTTAAGGGTCGGGTGGACCATGTGCAGAGTGAGAGAGAAGACCAGGAACGAAGGGTGCTACAAGTGTTGGGAACATGGGCATGTAAGCATCCAATGCAAGGGCGTGGACAGGAGAGAGATGTGTTTTAACTGCGGAAGCAGAGAACACCGGCTACGAGACTGCCGAAATCGACCCTGCTGCGCGCTGTGCGAAGGCCAGGAAGAAGGGAAAGGAGTGGGCCATAGGCCAAACAGCGACGAATGCCGTTATAAGCCTGACAGTGCCGCCCAGAAGTACGAGAGGGAAGGGTGTTATCGATGCGGCCAGAAGAGCCACTGGGCACGAGACTGTAAAAGTCAAACTGAGGCTGCAGAGGCTGTGAGGGAGAGCTGTGATAAGCCGAAAGAAGGGCACCACCAACCATGCCAGCAGAGCGACAGCACCTGACCACGGATAGACGGACACAGGACGGGAGACGAGGACGAGACAAGACGGTCCGGATCCTGCAGCTCAATACGAACTGCAGCTCAAGGGCGATGGACGTCGCCTACGCGAGAGCGAAGGCGACGGAGGCAGATTTTATCTGCCTCTCGGAGCCCAACAGGCGGCAGTGCGTGGGGAAGCGGCACGTGTACCCGAACGGGCGACGCACGGCCGCGGTTGCAAGGATCGGGACGACGCAACAGGTCCTCCGGTATTGCGAGGGTGGGTGTTATGCGCTGATTGAGACGGAAGAGGTGTGTCTCATCAGCGTGTACATCAGCCCGAACGTATCGGAGGAAGACGTAAACAAGGACCTGGACGACCTCACGGACGCGTTGAAAGCGGCGAAGTGTCCCGCCGTAGTGGCGGGGGACTTTAATGCAAAAAACGCCACGTGGGGGGGACAGAAGACGAACGACAGAGGACGAGCGGTTGCCGACTGGGCGGCGCAAAACGGACTGACGATACTGAACGATGGGCGATACGCAACGTGCGTCAGGCCGAACGGATGTTCATTCGTGGATTTGACGTTCGTGTCTGACGCACTGGCGGCGGACGGGACGGAGTGGAAGGTGGACCCCGACGAGGTCACTCTGAGTGACCACAGACTGATCGTGACGGACATCGTTGGGAAAGGGGGGAAAACGTCCGCCCCGACGACGACGACGGTGGACATGACGAGGTTCAGGAAGGAGATACGGACGAGACTGACGAGACAGAGTCTTCTTACGCCCCAGGAGTGCGTCTCCGCCACTAAGACGTCAGCACGGAGGTCGACGAGGCGGATAGTTAACCCGAGCTCAGCCTACTGGTGGAGCGAGGAGCTAGGCGTCATCCGGGCCCAAGTGCAGGCGGCGAGGCGGGCGTACTTGAGGGACAAGGGGAGAGGACTGGACGCGACGGCGAGTAGGACAAAGTACGACGAGGAAACGAGACGGTACAGACGTGAAATAGGGAGGGCAAGATGTAGGAAATGGGAAGACCTATGCGGGGAGTTGGAGAGGGACCCTCATGGAAATGCTTTCAAAATTACCATGGGAAACCTAAAGGCTCCCTATCCCAGGGTGGACCTGTCCCCGGAGAGTCGGCAACGGCTCTTCGAGGACCTGTTCATCTGGGAGGAGGAGAGGGAGGAGGAGGGGACCGTTGTCGAGACGGGAGATGTGGGTACGGCAGCACCCTTTGGGCTGGGGGAATTGAGAGAGGCCGTGCGAGGTATCAAGGAGGGGAGGGCGCCTGGGCCGGATGGGATAGCGCCGCGACTTGTCAAAGCTGCAGTGGAGGAGGCACCGGCAGCAATACTAGGGATGTATTCCGAGCTGTGGAGACGGGGCGAGTTTCCCACGGAGTGGAAGAATGCGAAATTGGTGCTGGCCGAAAAGCCGCGAGCGAATCCGGGGGACACGCCAAAGTATCGGCCGATATGCTTACTGGATGTCTATGGGAAGCTCTTCGAGCGTCTCATAGGCGCCAGACTGTCGGTCGATATCGAGGCAAGCGGGGAGCTCCACGGGGGCCAGTACGGTTTCAAGAAGGGTGCGTCCACGGTACACGCCATATGTGAAGTGGTGGATAGGGCGCGGCGGATGGGGAGGGTGGGAGCGTCGAAGTGGGGGATTCTCCTCTGCTTTGACGTGAAGAACGCCTTCAACACCGCGCGCTGGGGGATCATAATCAGCCGTCTGAGGGAGAGGAGTGTGTCGCAGGGGGTGCTCAGAGTCGTCAGGGACTATCTGCGAGACAGAAGGGTCGAGGTGACGAAGGGAGAGGTGCGGAGCGTCTTCGGTGGCGTTCCACAGGGGTCCGTATTGGGCTCGCCGCTGTGGAACGTCATGTACGACGACGTCCTGCATCTTCCCTTTCCGATCGGTGTGCTGCCCATATGTTTCGCGGACGACCTGGCACTCTGGGTTGAGGGGGCGACGGAGGGGGAGGTGAACCTTAGGGCCGCCGAAAGCGCGCGGCTTGTGGGGGACTGGATGGTACGGAACCGGCTCGAGATGGCCGTGGCGAAAACCACGGTCGTCATGCTGGGGAGGCACCGGCCATCCACGAAGCTGCAAGTGAGAATAGGAGACCTGACGTGCGAGCCCGTGAGGGAGGCCAAATATCTAGGAGTTGTCCTGGATAGGGGCCTCCTGATGGGAGAGCACGTCAAGTTGGCGGTCAGTAAGGCGGGAAAGACGATGGCGGCTGATGGGGAGGGTGAAGGGGCCCACACACATAAAGAGGAGGGTGCTAGCGGGAGTGGTGACGTCGAGCCAAATGTACGCGGCCCCGGTGTGGTGCGAGGCGATGAGGATCGCGAAATACCGCGGTATGGTGCTCTCTCTACAGAGAACGGCCTGTATCGCGGTGGCCTCGGCGTATCGCACGATATCGGGTCCGGCGGCGTGCGTCATCGCGAAGATGGTCCCTCTGGATCTTCTGGCTCGGGAGAGGGAGCGTGTGTTCCGAAGTGGGGGCAAGGAGAGAATGAGAGAGAGAGAACGGACAATGAACGAATGGCAGGAAAGCTGGGCTGGCGAGGGGAGGGCCTCCTGGACGAGGCGGCTGATACCCGAGATAGGCCGCTGGGTGGACTGCGCACACACGTACACTACGTACTATGTGACGCAGGCGCTCAGCGGACACGGATGTTTCGGGGATTACCTGCACCGTATCGGGAAGTGGCGGTCCAGTCGATGTATGTATTGCGAGGAAGTGGACACGGCGGAGCACACGCTGTTTTTCTGTGAAAGATGGGAGATCCAGAGGGGCAGGATCTTGGCGGTGGCGGGGGGGAGACGGCTGTCACCTTCCACGCTCATCGAGAGTGTGACGGGCACCAGGGAGGCATGGAGAGAGGTCGTAGGAGTGCTAGGGGAGTTGTTCTCTCAGAAGGAGAAGGACGAGCGTGAACGACAAGGAAGGGAGTAAGGCGATGGAGAAAACGTGGCCCGCTGGGTAGAAGTGAGCACACGAGTGCGTTCCTACCCAGCAAGTAAGCCTGGCCAAGGAGTGGTTTTAGCGGGTAGGCCTCCCTTCGGGGAGGAGATTCCTGCACTACCTTGCGCCGATAGAACCTAAGGCGCTTGGTGTCTATCAAAGATTTCCACTTCTATACAAAAAAAAAAAAAAAAAAAAGGTTAGTTAGGTAGGGGTTAGGTTGGTTAGGTAGGTGAGGTCGAGGTTCGGTTAGGTTAGGTTAGGTTAGGTTTAGGTTAGGTTAGGTTTAGGTTAGGTTTAGGTTAGGTTAGGTTTAGGTTAGGTTAGGTTTAGGTTAGTTTAGGTTAGGTTAGGTTAGGTTAGGTTGGGTTGGGTTAGGTTTAGGTTAGGTTAGGTTAGGTTTGGTTAGGTTAGGTTAGGTTAGGTTTAGGTTAGTCAGTCGCAGCTAGACCACGGAGGCGGCTAGACGCGTTTTCTGGAGCTCCGGAGCTTATTTTTGCAACGGCGCGAATAGTATCAGGAAAATTTGTCAAGTGACATCGATGTGTGCGCGCTTAAAAAACGCTCAAATTGGTGTAAAAATTATTAAAATCGGACAAGTGATTACGAAGATATGGATTTTTATAGTTTAGTGAATTAAATTACTGTGAAAGGCAGGCACGTGGTTTGCGAAAAGCGCACCCCCGTTGCGGGGGTGGATCTGAGTGGTATCTGTGGATAGAGGACTGCGCCACGAGTGCAACGCGCACTGGTGGATCCTTATCGGATCAGGCGTTCAGGAGCTACAGCCATATCAAATTTCGGGTGATAACTACTGATAAGGACATAGGAGCCAAACGGGAAGGGTGACAGCATCGAGGGACGGCTCAGTAGATTTGGGCTGAAAAGAGGATTCTTTTGATATACGACTTGCGAGGGTGGGATCATCCCCTGCGCGCCGCATTCCCCCTGGCCACGTGGTAAACGGTAGCGGAAGGGGTCAGTCAAGCCAAGAGCAAGTTGGTGGGTGAGAAAGGGACAGGTGAGAGGACCAGTTAGAAAGCAGAACGGTGGCTATCGGTGCAGTAGTTCGGCGGTGATAAGGCTATCAGTGTAATAGTGATAAAACTTTAAACGCTGGTAGCTCGGCCAGGGTGCGTAGTTCGGACACGGGACAAAGTTTAGGTAAGTCGGGGCAATTTTATCTTTCTTCCGACACCTCATTTGAGGGGGTGGGGGTGAATCACCCCTTTTTAACCAAAACGCTCAACTAGGAAAAGTGGTTTCAAACTATTGTTAGACGCTTGTTAGTAGTGTTTAAAGGTTAGTGGATTAATTTAGGGCGATAGGACGTTTTAGTTTGTAAGGAATTGCGACAGGACGTTGATAAGTAGTGATAAGAAAACAGGGACGCTGTTGGGAGTGTTATAGCACTGTTTAAGGCGATAGGACGTTTTAATAATAGTCTAGGGCTAGTGCAAAACCGAAAGGGCGCTCGAGGGCGCCTTCGCGCAAGGAGAAGGTGTAACAGACAGGAAGCAGGAGAGAAATGTCCTCTGACGACGGTGCGATGGCGATGGCGAGTCGCCCTCGCATTCTGAGGACACCCCCAAAATCAAAATCGCAGTCGTACGCCCAAGCCGCGGGCCAAGACGAGGATACCGTTCCGCCTACGCCAGGGGTCATACTAGAGACCCCAGTAGAGAGTAGGCGGAAGAGAGCCGACACTGATACGGAAAGTGACAGCGACACCGACTGGTCTACACAGATGCAGTTCAAAAGACCGAAGAGAAGAAGTGAGACGGAAACCGACACGGTGATCGTCTCCCCCAGGTCGACGTTAAGCGAACTGGGGGACTTACGAAAACTGCAGACAGAGGGAGCGATATTGGCAGCCGAGTTACAAAAGGGCATCAATGAGGCGGTGACTTTCACCAGGAAGTCCACCAACACGAGCAACGTACTTAAAGGCCTGATACAGAACATTAGACAGCAATACCGTAGGATGGAAAACCACCGCCTTATGGCCGAAAATAAATGGTCAAAGTATGTGGGGG